CCCCTTCCCCCGCGCCTTGCGTGGGGGTGGCGGCGCCCGGCCCTCTTTTCTCCCGCGGCCCGGGCTGCGCGTGCACAGGGGGAGGGGCGGCCCCGCCTCCGGCCTGGCTCGGCGTGGGCGGGACCCGTTCCTTCCCCCTGGGGCAAAAGTGAGAGTTTGAGGCTGGACTCCGAAAAATAACTGCCCGCGGCCTCGCCCCAGCTCCGGGCTTTGTGCTCGTTAACCCCCAAGTTCGCTTGTGCCTCCCGCTAGACATGCCTTTCCGCGGGGAAACGTCCGTACCCTGCGAGCCAGGGAGGTGCGGGTTAACAGCACGACCCAAATCTCCGTGCTGCTCGTCCCACCCCCAGCGGCGTACACGTCTCGGGATATTTCTGTAACCCTGTCTTTCCCCCGGGTGCCTTTAGTCAGAGACGACTAGATTCCGTTAGCCTGCAGGTTTTCTTAGAATTTTAGCAAGTTTTGCAGCCCCCGCCGTCGGTGGGCTCGCCCTTTGCCGTCCTCCCGGCTGTTGTACGAAATGTGCCATTTATGCAGGGGTGTGGTTTAGTTTAACCTAATCTGTTTAGGCCTTAAAGCGGAAGGAGAGCGCTCGTAAATAAATGTTACTCGTAAAGCACTGGCTACTTTGTAAGTATTTTCTAAAGGAGAAAGATTTAGTTTTTAATGTTTTGATAGTCGCTTCCTCTTCATTCCAACTTTTGCGGGCATTGGGAGTATCTTAGCGTTCTACAGAGCGGTTTGGGACCCTGGGCATGGTTTTGATCCACACCGTTCTGTCCAGGCTGAGATGATCCGTGTCCAGCTGGTGGTGGTATGGGGCTGCAGACGCCTACGCTGGGGTGGGAATTTGGAGAAGGAGCTAATTACCTGCTTCTCATCCAGTTTCATCCTGAATCTCTATAAATCACCATCCCCACCGATTATATATAGTGTGAATACTTTTCTTTGACATAAAAAGTGACGAGTGTATCTAATCGATTCTGGATATTTTCTTTAGGATCGGGTGACATAGACAATATTAAAATAAAGGTTTCTTTTATTACCTGGATTGGATTTTTTGTCTCTTGGAAGTATTATTGTTTGGCGAAGTTAAATTACTATTTTTCTCTGCCTTTTAAATTTCAGTGCACTAAAATTTGATGACATTTTACTTTATCGTAGTGACTTTATCTGCCTGAATTTGTGTTCCCAGATTTAGACGTTGGAAAATTAACTACTTTTTTACTGGAATATTTGGATTTTTTAATATCGCCATATGGATAGATATATTAAGCATTTTTTTTTTTTGGAGGCGTTGGGATTTCTGCGCTCTTTCTTATTCAATATGTTGTTAAAACAATTTTAATCTTGTGTTGCCCTTTATTGAAGATTGAAGTCGTTATACTATTGGCGCGTTTTTTGTCACTTTCAGGTTACTAATTTCAAAGTAGCTCTGGTCATACTTTAGTGATAAAAGTCTTTTTGTTGTAACTGTCTTTTAAAGACGTCTTTAAATTTACTCATGACCAACAATAAAGCAGAAATAATTAAACTTGAGTTTGGTGGTTTGTTAAATTTTGCAATAAAAAAGTCCTGACTCAGGGAAATACTATTGTTTCAAATTGATTGACTTGATTCCAAAGTAATCAGCCTTGTTTAAAAACAAAAAGCACATATCTGAAGATAACAGTACTGTGTATTTCTTGGTGTAGATTTCTGTCCTTAGTCTTGTGTGTATACTCCTGCCATTTTTCTGGGGTTTTTTGGTTTTTTTGGTACCGGGAATCGAACTCAGGACGTTGCGCTTGCCAGGCAGGCGCTTACGCCACTGAGCTATATCCCAGGCCCCTGGTTCTTCCTTTTTACTGTAAATGTCAATCTTATTTTAATGTGAACCTAAACATGTAAAGGGCATCTCAGAATGTATTATTGGTGCTTTGACACCAGTTTCTAAATGAAGCATATGATAGACTGGCTACAGCATGGTTTTCGAGAATATTTAGCACATTATTTTTTGGTGGAAATTTTTTTTTTTTTTTTTTTTTTGGTTGAGGGGGGACCCGGAATTGAACTGAACCTTGTGCTTGTCAGGCAGGCGCTTGTGCCGCTGAGCTACATCCCCAGCCCTAGCACATTATTTTTTAATTTGTGATGCGGTGGGATCGAACCCAGGGCCTCTATCACTGAGCCACATCCCCAGGATAGCACATTTCCAAGCAATTTCACATATGTAAAATTGCTTTTTTAATCTTTTGCAGTGTCTAGGAGGCTTGAGTATTTTGGATTCAAATTAACAGCATGAAATTATAGTTCTGGAACTAGAAAGAGTTGCTCAGTTCACAGGGCACAAGTGAAGTGCCCTGTGTCACACTAGTAGGAGCCAAAGTTGAGTCTAGAACCTAGATTTCTTAATTCTCAGTCCTCAGAATGTTTCCATAACTTTTAACCCTTGTGAAGGAATAAAAAAGCCATTGCTTGTAAGAGAGAAAAGGAAATTTGAGATTTACTGACTTGCCTGCATTAGAAACCAGGTTTCTTGATACACTTTGGTGTAGTGTCCAGAGATCCTCCTTGCTGAAAAAGAGCCAAGTAACTCCAGTCAACCTCTTCACTATTCGTTGTTACAGAAGTGTGCTCCGTATCTTGTCTCTTAATACTTCAGAACATAACCTTTGCTGTTCAAAATTTGGATGTGAAATAACAAGTTCTTATAAGTTAATAAAAACGTTATTGTTTACAACTGCAATGAGAATAGTTTCCCCAATATTCCAGATTGCTGCCTTTTCAAGAATTTAGCATATGTCGGCATTCTAAACATTAGTATTTTCTCTAAGCAAAAAAATTAGCTTTAAGAGGTCCTCAGTTAAAGGGAAAACTTAAATTCAAGGAAGCTTAGAATTAGTTACCGAGTAAGCACTGTTAGACCCTTAAGTGTAGTGTTCTGTGTGGTCGTGCATGAACCTGCTTACATCTCTACTTCCAAACTCAAGTGTTCACTTTCCTCCAAAAAGACGTAGTCCCGCAGGGTGTGGTGGTACACGCCTGTAATCCCAGCACTTGGGAGGCTGAGGCAGGAGGATTGGCATAAATTGAAGGCCAGTCTGGGCTACATAGTGAGTTCAAGACCAGCCTGCATTACAAAGTGAGACCCTGTCTCGAAAAGGGGCGGGGAATGGGGATGGGGTTTAGTGGTAGAGTTCTTGCCTTGTATGCACAAGGCTCTCGATTCAATCCCCAGCACCACTAAAAAATAAAAAATAAAATAACTTTCCCTTTCGGAGCCGGGGATATAGCACAGCAGCACAGCACTTGCCTTGCAAGTGTGGGGTCCTGAGTTTGGGTCCCAGTACCCAATAAAAGGCAAAAAGAAAAGGGGAAAAAAAAGATATAGTCCTTTGCATAGACTTTACCTTCAAAAGTGTGCCATCAAGGTATCTCACATAATTTACAAAGCCACTGGGAGGAGTTAAGTTTATAACAGTGTCAAAGTATTCAGCTTTTTTCAACACACATTAAGCTGAATATTAAAAAGAGTGATTTTAAGAGCTTACAAAATATTGAGAAAAACTTTATACTAGAAGCTTTTATTCTTTATCTTTACTTGTAAGCTAGGTTTTTAAAAAAAAAATCTCCATAGAGCAAATAGCCACATAAACTTCTGTTACTCAAGGTAATGAAACTATAATAGAACCAAAATTTGAATCTAGATCTATTAAATACAAAGCTAGCATTCTACCATGGTACCACTTTTTCCTGCCTAGTATTTGGCATTGAAGTGGGCAGTTGTTTTTTAGTTGATAGTTTCAATAGTAAACACTTTTTGTGGCAGCAGTAGGAATGGAACACAGGGTCTTAAGCATGCTAAGGAAACATTCCACCACTGAGGTACATCCCCAACCTGAGTACATTCTTTATATGTAGGTTTTTGGCTCTTCGTGAAGAGTGTTTCAGGGAAGAACATGGCCCAAATGTGATAACTTTTTTTTGAGGGAATATTAAAAATAATTTTCAGAGATTGTCAAGTCTCTTCAGTATTATCAGTGATAACTTCGTTATTACTGGTAACTTTGCTGAAGGGGTGGTTTTGTTTTTTGGGTTTTTTTGAGACAGGGTCTCATTATATTGTAGCCCAGACTGGCATCAGAGATCTCCCTCCCTCTGCCTCCTGAGTGCTGGGATTATAGGTGTGTGCCACCATGCCCAGCAGTTTTGTTAGAATTTTGAATTAGTAAGGCTGGGCTTAGACTGCATGAATCTTAGTCATTCTGCGGGTTTATATTTACTGTATTACAGGTCTACATCCCTTGTTTGAAACCAGATATTCCCGTATAAATTTGGGAATTCATAGTTTTTCAAAAAAATTTTAAAAGACAATTGAGTACATGGACCATAAAAAAGTACTGTTACTAGGGTGGGGTAGTACTATAATCACACATATTAATATTTAATGAAATCTATGAATTTTCACACTAAAGGTTGTATAAAAGCCTTACATACAGGTCAAGTCAGGATTTGCCACCATGCAAATTAGGAAAAAGATTTTAGTTTTCAGAAGTTTGGGTTTCTAAATGGCAAATTAGTGACATGGACCTTTAACAGCACACATTGAAAAAAATTGCTTTTAAACTCCCTACTGCTGTTACTAATTTAGGTGCCAAATATTCT